TGGGGTGGGAATCAACCTGCATGTTTGGGGTGGTGCTTAACTGGCTGGAGAAGGTGATGCCCTGCCAGGAGCAGTGGTGGGTTATCCCAAAAATGTGTTTGTGTCCCCCCCAAGGGATGGAGGAGAGGGTGGGGGAGCCCTTTTGGGGCCGTTTACCTGCGATCCATGTCTGAACCATTCGGGGAGGAATCAGAACGCAAAGCTCCAGGTGGAGGCCCTCTTTCCTGAGGGGGGGGAAAACAGAGGTGAAACCTTCTCTCAGGTGAGGCAGAATCTCCCCCCAACCCTCCCAAAAAAGAAAACAAACCCCAAAAAAGCTCCCTCACCCCCCCATTCCAACCTGCCACCACCGGGTCCTGCCTCCTCCGGGCGGTGTGAGCAGGAGAAAAGCTCCTTGGGAAATGCTGATTTTTTTTGGGGGGGTGGTGATTAAAGACAAGGCCCTGCCAGCCCTGCCAAGAGCAAGGGGAGGACCCAGTTAGTGAATTAATCAGTCAAAACTTGCTGGAGTGGCGATGCACCCTGGAACAAGCCCACTCAAAACTTCATCCTGTGCGGTTTTTGGGAAGGCTGAGCCAAATCGAACAAACCCGGGGAATTCCGACACAACCCCCTGCTTTTGGGGGGGGCTGCTGCAAACATTCCCAAATGGAGATATATATATATATATATATATATTTAAAATCCCCCATCGTGGGGGATGAAACCCAGGAGAGTCTTGACTTTCTGGTGAGATTTAAGGAACTCTCGGTGGTCCCCAGGTCTTGGGGTCAGAGATGCTCTGGGATGCTCCTTGATTTCAGCCCTGATCCTGGGGGAGCGGGAGCAGGAGGGCTCCAGGGTGCATCTTCCAGCAGGATTAGTGCAGTGGGTGCCGTGGCAGGGGTTAGGAAGCAGCAGGGAAGGCGGGAGAGGCTCCTGAGCTCGTTACTTACGGCTGAGGCAATGGGGGCCCCCGTTTCGGGGCTGCGCTGGGAGGGGCTCCATGGGGATCTTAATGACTGAGGGAGGTGGGAACTGGGGGGAAAAAACGGGGAAATTGGGTGAAAGCAGTGCTTGGGTGGGCTCTGAGACCACCGTGGAGCACCCACAGGCGCCCAGAACCTGGAGAGGTGGGTGCAGGAGGAGAAGGATTTGCCTTCCTCATCCAGAATCCTCCAGCAGGGTCTGCAGCAGGAGGCTCTGCCCTGGGGAGCTGATGCCTTAAAATACATATTATATCCATTTCAGGGCAGCTTTTTAACACTTTTTGAGCAGGACTTTCAGCTGAAGTACGTTTTGTTTAATATTTCTTGTCAAGGCAAAAGATTTTTAGCAAGATAAAGAACATCTTTTTTTTTTCCTGTAAAAGATGTAGAATGAGACGTTACAGGCCCACTATTTGATATAACCAGGTCAAAACTATTCAGAAGACCCTTGAAACTGTTCCAGGAAGGACAAAAGGTGATGATGAAGAGGAGGATGAGGAGGAAGGAGGGGTCTTTGGGACCTTCAACTCCAATTTGGGAGGTGTGTCCCACTGTGGGAGGGGTGGATTTGGAAGGGGCTGTAACAGGATCAGGTTTGAATTATAAATTCTACTGATGAATTAATTAGGCAACTAAATAAAAGCAAGAGGCTTCTGGGCCTCTGCCTGCACGCTTTGGGAAAAATTAGATCTGATGGCATCATAACAAAAGGAATTGCTGCTTCCCAAAGCTGACAAATTTCGTCTTGGAGGTTTTCCTACAGGAGGGAGTTTTGGGGTGCTGTGTTTGGCCAGGAATCCAGGCCCAGGATCCAAACAACCCAAGCTGGTTCTCTGAGCTGTGGCTGGTGCCAAGAGGCTGTGCTTCTGGTGTTGAATTGGGCTCAAACTTCAACCCCACCTCCTGCTTTTTGGGGCAGGATTTGGCAGATGAGCTGCTGGCTGACCTGCAGGCAGTTGTTGTATAACTCTGAAAGCCCAGTCCAGCTTTTCACAGGGCAGATTCTTCTTCACAGACATTCCTGGGGCGTGGGAAGATTCTCCCATGACCTCTTCGTGGTCACTCTCCAGGGGTTCTGTGAGAGATCTGCCCACTGTCCTTGAGTTCCATCAATCTCTGCTTAATGATTGTTTCTTTTTGCCAGCTTGATATCAGCTTGATATCAGCTTTGATAAAACTGCTTTAATGTAATTTGATGCTATATTATACCCTACTGGTAGTTTTTAGCTTTTACACTGTGTAGTAAGTAATTCTGATTAGGGTCCTTCATCTGTTCATTTGTCATAATAAATAATTCATTTTATATAAATATGTCTGATTTGTCTTCACTGAAAGCTGTGGGACAGGAGTGGTTCAATCACACTTCTGTATAATTCCTTCAATTTAAGCAGTTGACACAATCCAAGGCTAAGATTGGATCCAGCCAACCCGCAGGCTCCTCTGGGAGAAGGAGTTTGGAATGTAAGGGTGTCCTGAGAGGTTTGGGGGGGCTCTATGGGGGGTGTTGGGGGTCCTTTCTGCACCTCAGGAGGCTTCTCTGATGAGAATCACCTCCAGGAGTCAAAGATCTCCATCCCAAACCCACCCACCTGGAAGTTTCAGTGGGACCTTCCCCTCCCACTGGTCTGGAATGTCCCCAATGGAGCCCCTCACCAACCTCCTCATCGCTGCTGCTGTCTCCTTTATTGCCTTTTTTCTTCTTCTTCTTGTCATCCTCTTTCTTCTTCTCCTTCTCGGGGATGATGTTGTCGATCCAGGCCAGGTCGTGTTGGGAGAAGACAAAATCCAGCAGCCTCCTGACCAGGATCAGGGCTAAAATCTGTGAGGGCAGAGAGATGAGAGTGGAATCACAGAATCACAGAGTCAGCCAGGTTGGAAAAGACCTCTGAGATCATGGAATCCAAGCTGTGACCCAACCCCACCTTGTCACCCAGCCCACCCTGATGCCACATCCAGGCTCTGCTCAAACCCCTCCAGGGATGGAGAATCCACCCCCTCCCTGGGCAGCCCCTTCCAGTGGCTGATCCCTCTCTCTGGGAAGAACTTCCCAATGTCCATCCTAAACCTGCCCTGGGGCAGCTCAAGGCTGTGCCCTCTTGTCCTGCTGCTGGTTCCTGGGAGCAGAGCCC